TAATTTTTAATTTTTTAGCAGTTGATGGCAGTATTGTTGCAAAGAAAAGACGCATTAGAATGGGCTCATACAGGAAAAGACGCTGTCAAGTCAATCTGGTTCTTGCTTGTTCTAAAAAATATTATACTTTGGTAGGTTTTCTACTCCTCTCTTTCCCGTTGTTCATTGTAGTACTCAATATGAAAATGAAGTACTCAAAGAATATACTTCTCTTATGGTTCAACTTATAATCTCTTGCACCATTTATGTTCTTCGATCTGACCATTTATTTTTTTATTTTCTTCTTTTCTTAGGTTTGTAACCTTACTTAATGCAATCATTTACCGTGGTGATAGAGAGGTCACGAAAGAAATTAAAAGCACATGCCAGAAACAATAGAGCCCAGGCACTGTTACTTTCTACTCAGTTCTGGAAACTGCACCTTTGTTGTGTCTTATGTATAGTTGTCTTTGATCTCTGTGTGCCTTTGATTATGTAAATTTATCTTCGAGATATTTGGTTATCTTTAACGTTGATGTTACCAATGATTTTAATTCTTTACGCACTTTCACCAACAAATGTACAAGAACTTTCATGCTTCTAACTTGTAACTTTGTTTTGTTTTGTAGCACTACTTTTGCACAAAAACTCTTCAATGAAGTTTAAATTTAGCAGGAGTGTATTGTTGGCTTCATGATACTTTTCTACCTGTAACTTAAATGTTATAGTGTATCGAATTCAGCTTTTAAGATGTATAAATCATCTTTTACTTACTCATTAGAATAATATTTTCTAACTTGTCTTCATCTTTAAATTAAAAGGCATGCGGAAATTTGATTTGATGAATATGAGATATCTTCCAACACTAACACAGTTTCCTTTTTTTCCTTCTTTTTTCCCTACGCTATTACATACTCGATTATACCAAAGCAAGTGCGTCTCACTAGTACTTGACAAAAGACACTCCACACAAATAATTTCAACATACACGGAAACAACACACTTCTAGATAATATCCATCACCGGATCAACCACCCGCAAACTTTTTTCACAATATGGTTAAGTGAAAAGAAGTGAGAATATGATTGACATAAATTTATGCACAGCTCACAACCTAGTTCAACAACTTCAAAAATTTCTCCATCAATCAACCATTTCCAACTCTAGACAGCAACCAATCGTGATTAGTGTGCTCAAAGTGGTATAATATCTCACATGGACAAGCAAATTTCAAGATCGAGGCAAATAACATGATTGAAGATAACTTATGAATTAACAACAATTTTAAATATCACATCAAATCATCAAAAGCCGACAAGGCTATCCAACATGTCAATGTTGACACCACTATAAGAACAATATATAAGCGCAATATCCCATCAACACCCCCAAACTTAATTTGTACATTGTCCTCATTGTGTACATTACCAATAAAAATAAGTAAAGAGGGTCAACAAAACTTCCCTGATTAGGTTTTTGTTGAAGTTTGTTGTCAATGACTTTTTGGGTCATGGCTTAATGTACACTCCCAAGCTTGTTAAGATTTATGGGAGGCTAGGACTTCAATAATTAGGACCTACAAAAGAATGGTATTAATTCAAAATTCAATAAAAAAAGTATTAATCACAAGTAACATAAAAAAAAAAGAAAAAAAAGGAAAGGATAAGAAAGTTGGGTTGCCTCCCAACAAACGCTTGGTTATAGTCCCGAGCTTTGAAAATTGAATTGGTGCATACTTAATACCTGATATATGAATCTTTCCTTATAAATGTAGAGCAGAAAGTTGGATTTAAATGTCATGTTAATTCAAGAGTAATTCTAGAAGTTTATAATATTTGTAAGGACATTATTATCTATAAATAAAAAATAAATAGAACAATACAGGAAATCCAATGAACCCATTAAATCAGGATCCGACAGCAGGGAACATAACTTCTTAGGAGAAACTTTTCCGCCAATAAGATTTCTTATTTGCTCCAATGCTAAGATTTCAAGTGGGGTCACCATTTATCCAGATTGCACCGAAACTATTAAGACATTAATGTTTCTATTTCAAACGCATTATAGAAACGGAAATTGTTTGCAGAAAGTTAGAAAAGAATGTAAAAATCTGAAGGGAAATGAGTTCGAATTTGTAAAAGGAGATTATTGACAAAATGAGCATAAAATATATGGAAAGAGGTATATAAAGAGAAAAAAAGCTTTCGAAGTTGGTTCTGTTCGGGTCAAGGCAATTTTTCATCAAATATGAACCGTTTGATTTGTTGACTTTCAGGATTGACAGTTGCGATTGAAAGCCACGGTAATTTGTCGTCATGTCCTTGTAGAAATTTATCCATAATTTCAATTTCAATCACATAATCTTCAAAAAAAAAAAAAAAAAAAAAATCATTTTTCAAGTCTTCTCATATTTTTTTTCCCTACATATTAACAAAATATTCTCAAAAAATCCTTTCTTGAAAAATCTTTATCAAACAAGCGCTTAAGAAGATGATTTGTAGATTTCTATATGAAAGCCATTTCCTAAAGTCTTCTATATGGTAAATAATTTGATAGCTTAATTATTTAACTTTTTGATTGAATTATTAGTTTATAAGAGCATGTCTAGTAGGGTTGAACGACGAAATTGACAATCTATAAAATCGAACCAAAATATCTTTTTCGAAATTGTTGGTTTGGATCCATATGGATCTGTCAACATTTTGATTTTGAACAAAATCAAACCACTTAAAAGTGGTTTCAATATTAATAAATCGTTTCAAACCGTCAAACCATTTATAAAAATAAAATAAAAAAATCTGAAAATAAATTGATCTGAGTTTTATTCAACTCAATTAAAATTAAACACATCCCAGTTAAAAAAATACATTCATATTTGACATAACTAGGGTTAGACAAAACTCCCGAATAGAACTGAACCAAATCGGATCCAAATAGAATCGAATAGAGCATCGACATGAAGCTCAACTATAAATATTTTTTATTAAATGAAATTCCTTAATATTTTGATACATAAGTCAAACTCAATAAAAATGAACGAGACTATAAACTAACGAGTTACACATCATGCGTTATTTAATAACGTAAGTTCAATACCACCACACTAGCCACTGAAATTTGAATTTTCTTTTTTGTTAAATGACATTTTATTTTGTGCTTAAATTTTTTTTTTCTATAGCTAAGTTGGGCCCTTACTAACTTCGAGTTATGAATCCACGGACTCTACACTCCAATGCGACAACCCAAACATGGATCGCAGCCCCCTTGTGTAGTTGTTGTTATCTGGCTGTGGTTTGCAGTTCTCTTTATGACCATTTGAGCTATCACAAGGAATGGGAGGAAANCAAACCAAGAGCACCAGAAGAAGCACG